TGTCTCTTCCCCATCACACTGCAGACTCTTAATCATGTAAAACAAACAAGGAAAAATGTCCATGCAAACAAGTTTTTTTTTTTTTTTTTTTACAGATTGTAGATGTTCTTGATGATCTTATATACATACACCTATGTCTCTAGACTTATGGACACCCTATATATCCCTCATTAGACTGTAAGTTCCATCAGGGTAGGGACTGTGCGTATCTGTTTCGTGGTCACGTTAGCAACATACATGGGCTCTCAAACAATATTATACCTGCCTGGTAACAGATATATAAACTAACTGATGAACAGACAGCACTGTAGGACACTTTGGGAATTTTTCCCACTGATCTAAGTTATTTAGCAAAAGCAGAAAAACAATCTTGTCATCTTTCTTCTATGACAGTATTTATCTGAACATTACCATTCAAGCTAAAAAACAATACACATCTGTGAACTTTGGTTTGGGTAAGGCAATCTGATGCTACAACTTCAAATATTCAATACATTTTATAAGAAGAAGTAAAGGTAGAACAGGGGGAGATAATTCAAGTTCCATAAAGATAATTCTGGATGCCAACGCCATTAGGTAGAAAATAAAAATTACTGGTATCTTATCAATTCAACATCAGTAGCTGAGGAATGGTGACAGGAATGATTCTAAACAATGTAACAAAGCAGTCTAGGTGAACACTCAGCCAAAGATACCTTGCAAAAATGAATCCTATGTTACACCTGGACTTGAGAGAGCTATTTCTCCCCGCTCCAACAGCAAATACTCCCAACCATTTTTTTTAAACCAAAGAATAACTATCAAGTATTTCGAGCACTGGTTAATACTTACAGCAAAGGGCCTTCTGCAGTCTTCGGAGTTTCATGGCAGTCCTATAAGCCGAGAACCTGACATTATTCAGGTCAGCTGAAGAAAAAAGGGGGAAAACAAAGATCATTTGTTATTTTCTCAAAAGGCACGGATAAACTCCCAATGATTTGCCAACAACAACAACAACAAGAGGCTACGGGGGAAAAGTCTCCTGTATATGCCCCAATTTTGGAAAGGTGAATTTTTGTCCATGTGGGGAAAGAAAAAAAAAAAAAACGTCTTTTTGCTCTTTGACAATCAGGAAAGCTAAGTTCTGTGAGGGACGACAGTGGCATGGCCTGCAGGGAGCTCATATAGTCCTTGTGCCCAAGAGGGAAAAGAAGGACAGGTATTTCTTTTTTCTAGACTGTAATCTTGGTTCTATTGTAGTGAATCTCTGCCACACAAGGTGAAAGAGAACAGGGAAGACTTCCCTGAAACAGCTGTGAGAATTTGGCAGACAATCAAGTGGCAACATAACATGTTTTTCTGATTATCAAAGTTCTACATGGTCACTGCGGAAAACTTAGAAATTAAAGGAAAATATAGAATCAAGTAAACAAATCATCCGTAGTCCCATTCTGCAAAGATATGCACTGTTAACATTTTGAATACTTCTTACCCAACACAGGCGTAGGTCTCTGTGTGTGAGATGTATTTTAAAATTTAATTGGCACAGTTAACCCTCGTTCCAGGTTTAGGGCCACCTGATCCCATAGGCTCCTTCTATTTAACTATTTTGCATTTACCTAGAAAGTAACTAATTCAGCAAAGACAGGATAAAAGAGAGCTGGCTTAAAAAGAAGTTCACAAACTCACATGTGTGTACACACACAGGTACTAACTGGAAGTTTCTGCTCAAAAGTCTGGATGCAAGGTAAACATACAAAAATGATACTAGATGTCAACAAGAAAAGTTGCGAATCCATATCAGAATGGATATTTGTTTCTGTACGTATTCTGTACTAATGAAGATACTGCTATTCTAAAAGAGATTAAAATAAGTAAAATGAAACTGGGACTAAAATAAACATTTAGCTTTATATTCCAAGGTGCAATCATTCTAATATTCTGCACGGATTAACAGCTCAACAATTTCTGCTACAGTGGTTTCTACTGTCACCTGTCTATCAAGCCCCAACTCACCTCACCTAGCAGAAATCTATATTTAGATGATGCCCTCTCTCAATTTTGCATAAGCCCTGATATACGCCAAGATATATTTCTTTTCTTGCATTTTTGTGTATTTATGTTTCATAAACCCAGCTCCAAAAAGCTCCTTGAAGACAAGCACCCTGTCCCCTACTTCTGTCGTCATTTCCCAGTGACTTAACATACAACTGCTCTCTGAAAAAACAGGTCTCATACAGCTCAGGGACTGACTGACAAACTGAATGAATGTATGAACAAAAAATGAAAAAAAAAATATACTGGCAAACATGACTAACTGCCATAATCAAACGGCACCCACAGAACCAATTCTAATTGGAGGTTAAGAAAGGGAAATAATTTAATCCATATCCAAGCTGCTTGGGTCAACATTATTAGATTGATGGCCTTTGCAGAGACCAAATATAACAACCTAACTTGAAATTAGGGGAAAGAAAAACAATGTCTGTAATTTACTTTAAAATATTCAATGTAAAAACCAAAAAGACTGACAATACTAAATGTTGCACGGATGTGGAGCAACCGGAACTCTCAGACACTGTTGGTGGGAATATAAAATAGTACGACTACTTTGGAAGACCAGGTTAGCAATTTCTCATGAAATTAAACATACATCTATCTTATGACCCAAAATTCGACTCCTAGATATTCAGCCGAAAGAAATAAAAACACGCCCACAAAAAGATGTGTACCTGAGCGCACATAGTAGCTTTAATTCATAATAGCCAAAAACTGGAAACAAAACTAGAGTAGAATGAATAAACAAATTGTGGTGTAGTCACACAACAGGATACTACTCTGTAATAAAAAGGAACTAACTACTGATAAAGCAACATTGTGAGCTGATCTGAAAAGCATTACCCTGGTTAAAAGTCAGGCACAAAGAGTAAACAAAAAAAAACTGTTTGATTCCACTTATATGAAATTCTCGAAGAGGTAAATCTCACCTATACACTGACAGAAGGCAGACAGACGGTAGCCGGGAGCGGGGACGGGGTGGTGGGTAACTAACTGAAAGGAACACAGTGGTATTTTGTAGGTGATTGAAATGTTATATATCTTGACTGATATGAAGGTTATTTGAGTGCATACGTCTGTCAAAAACTCAAACTGTACACTTAAAATGGGTACATCTTATTGTGTTTAAAGTATGCCTCAGTACAGTAGATTTTAGGAGTTAAAAAAACCCTCACAGGGACCGTACAATATGAAGTATGTGTGTGTTGGCTCAGCTACATTGCAGAGGCGGTCAGTTGTCTTAATCAGGAAAGCACACTCCAGGGGTGGTTGGCTAGCAATTAATCAAAAAGCCTCACTCCAGAGCCACCACTGTTAAGTGCTTCAGCTATATTTAGCTCTTGTTACACCTAAAATCCTATTAATACACCTAGTATCCAAATTAATGTTGGATGGGCTTGTGTTAGTGATATTATTAGTGGTTTACAAAATACCAGGACTGTTGAAAAGGGTTTAGAATGGAAACAGTCCCTGCCCTTACATTAACAGGGAGTGGGAAGAATCTAGCAGGCCCTCCACCTTTAAAAATGGTGCCCTAGGCCGGATTCCAAAATCTCCAGCTGTAGTTCATTGGATTCTTGGTTGCCTGAATTCAATTAGATGGCTGACAAAATCCTGCTGTTACAGCAGGGGTTTGCCAACTTGAGCGTACACCAGAATCACCTGGAGGGCTGGTTAAAAATACACATTCCCAAGCCCCATGCTCAGATGTTCTGATTCCGCGGGCCTGGAGAGGGCCTGAGGATCTGCATCTCTGACAGGCTTCTAGGTGCTCCTGATGCTGCTGGTCCAGAGACCACACTTTGAGAACCGCTGTGTTAAGGACTGTGGCAGGTGTGGATTGTGAGGCTCTCCCGCCAAGCACTCAAAATGGCAGAGCTGTGACTTCACTGTGCCTTGGACACAGGCTTTAAAATTGTTCTCTGCTCTGTGGCTAGTGAGTGTTCATATGTGACAGAGCTTGTTCTGAGACTTGCTTTCATTATAAACCTGGTAGCCAAGATGTGGATAAGAAGGCAGCCCTCACCGATGTCTTAACCACGGGTGGCTACCAACACATACCTACCCCAGAGAACCTGGGCAGATCCTTTTTACCCACATTATGATTCGAGGACCAACAGCACCAGCACCTCTTTGGACCTTGTTAGGAATGCAGAATCTCAGGCCCCACCCAGCTCTAAGAATCAGAATCAACGTTTTAACAAGGTCCCCAGGTAATTCGCATGCGCCTTCGAGTACAATGGAGTCTTTAATTGTACATTTTAATACAGTTTCTTGTTCCATGTTGTTAAAGTGCAAGTATAAACTCCTCTACAGAGACCTGTGTGGTCTATTGTTTTTGTCTTTCTACATTCCATTTTGGGGGCTTTTAGAGTACTTAATGACTATTACAGTCAATTAGACCAAAAACTCACCTCTGCGATATACTTGTGGGTCTCTTGTTTATGATGAATGCCAATAAAAACGTGTCTACTCTGTCCGATTTTCCTGGATCTATTCAGAATTCAGGACAAATGGTCTAAATGAGGTCAGAAGCCCCATCCAATCCTCACCGTTCATATCAAGAACTGGCAAATTCCAGGAGCTTGAGATCCAAGTGGGAGAGGCAAGGATGATCTGATTCCTTCAGGGCGTGGCTCACGGTAGAATACTATCAGAGACAAGCATCTGGAACATTCCTGCTCTAGCAGTGCTCTCAGCTTCCCTAAAGCAGTTCAAACTTTCTTCCCTTTCAAATCCTTCTAACTGTGGCACATTCTACCTGGCGTTAATCCACTCTGACACCCTTTCGAGCGTACCCCCAAACACAATGCAGAGAACAAGACTTCTGCCACCAGTTTTCTATGTACCACAGTCCAACCAATTATCAAACAGTGATTCAGGAAGACCAAAAGAAAGTAGCCCGGAAAATGTCTCGCTTTCAACATAATGCAACAGAAGCCATGCAAATTTACATCCAGTAAGCATCAGTGAATTGCAACGGAGTTCTGGTGCCCTGAAAGTCCTACTCCAGAGGGTTAACCATCTGTGTTGTCTGAATCCGCCCTCTGGCTCACAGCTGGGAGAGAGAAGTCTCCGCAGCCTTGTGAAAATGTGTAGGACACACACTGAAACCTCAAGATGCGGTACAGCTGCGGACAATGTGACACTGTCCTGGGCTGAGGCTGGAGCTGATCTCGTAGCTGAAGTATGCATGCAGAATAAAGCTTCAAGCCCCGGCCCCGATCCCCATCCCCCGTGGGAGGCCAGCCTCCACTTTCCCTGGGAGCTGCCTTTCCAGGACTTTGGCCCAAGTTGTGATGAGCTCACTAGCTCTCACAACCGGAACTCAAGAGGCGTGAGACTATCCAAGGAACGAGTCACACGATGTTTGCATGGCAGCTGGTAGAGCGCGCACTTGGAAGGATAAACATGCTGAACTGTACATTCCTCTTCATGACTTGAATTATTTTACCCAGGGCTGGTTCTGGCCTAAATATGGAGAAATCTAGAAACTGAAGGAACAAGGGGCAATATTACACCATCTACGCTCTCAAGCTGAATCACCAGCTACTGAAGTGATGGTCCATTTGACTTTTATTTTGAGGCACAAAAGAAATAACAGGTTTTGCTGCACCTTTCTTTAGCCTATGAATTTCCCTTGACTTTGGTAAGTATTTCTGTTGCATGAGTTTTACTTTCATTCTGTGGAAGGTAGTGGTGGAAGGTGTCAAATTCACCAGAAAAGAGGAATGACCGATCAAGTTTGAGCCATAAACCTACACATTGTTGGACTTGCTCTTGCAGAACCACTGAAAAACACCTCAACTTTAAACATTTTAAAGTTATGGGAAATTTTGGAAACTATTATAGAAATAAAACATTAAGGC